TGTTGACGCTCAAAAATGGTTCGGCACTTTTGAGGCCAACTTAGTGATGAGGTGTGATTGATGATGAGTGAAGGTGAGTACCTTCACCAAGCGTGTGAGGATTTGAGCAAGCGATAAACATACAAAAGACAAGATATACGTGGTTCACCCTTAATGAATGGGCTACGTCCACGGAGAAGTATATTCTCATTATTATAATATTGTGTATTTACATTTGTACATGGGGTTGGGCCCAAACTTAAATGTAAGAAAGGGGAAGGTCATGACTAAAGGTCAAGCCCAGCCCAAGGGATCCTTTTCTAAGGGGAGAGTGGTCTCCTTTTATAGGTGATGGGGAGCATTCACTTCTTGTAATATTCCAATGTGGGACTCTTTACTTTGCCTAGAGTTGCTTCTAGTTGCTTGGTCAAATATGGTATAAACAAAGTACATTGAAGAGATTATGTGTGAAACCCCGTATTTATAACATTGAAGAGCTTATGTGTGAAACCCCATATTTATAAAATTATATAGTTTGAAGATTTAATATTTTGCCATTTAATTTATATATTATATTTTATTAATTCTTGGAGGAGATATAGGGCTTAGCTTGTATTTTCTTAAATTGGAGCAATGCTTTGGAATCGAGGGAGGGGTTTCTTGGGGGCCTTTTGCAGAGATTGATTTAATTAAATTTCGTGAGCAATATATTATGCATGATATTATTATTTGATTGCTATTGATATTGGGTGTTTAAGTGTTGTTAATTATCATTATATTTTATTAATATTGACATGATCATATGTTATCGGTGATGGTTGGAATTCTTGGATTGACAAAGAAATTATGGAAAAGAGGGTAATGGGAAGGTTCTTTTGTTCTAAAAATAAAAAACAAAAAACTTAATGGCAAAACAAAAGAGTCAGTAGTTGGGTTTTGGTTTTGGGGTATGTCCTTGGGGTGACCTTGCAAGGCGAAGCCACTTCTGTTAAGTTTAGGATTCTTAGAATTGGCTTTCCTTGCCAAATATACACTTTCATGTAATTTCTCTTAGTTCATCTTTAGAAATTAGGCATTGGGTATTTGCTACAAAGTTGAAGTATGTTGACGCTCAAAAATGGTTCGGCACTTTTGAGGCCAACTTAGTGATGAGGTGTGATTGATGATGAGTGAAGGTGAGTACCTTCACCAAGCGTGTGAGGATTTGAGCAAGCGATAAACATACAAAAGACAAGATATACGTGGTTCACCCTTAATGAATGGGCTACGTCCACGGAGAAGTATATTCTCATTATTATAATATTGTGTATTTACATTTGTACATGGGGTTGGGCCCAAACTTAAATGTAAGAAAGGGGAAGGTCATGACTAAAGGTCAAGCCCAGCCTAAGAGATCCTTTTCTAAGGGGAGAGTGGTCTCCTTTTATAGGTGATGGGGAGCATTCACTTCTTGTAATATTCCAATGTGGGACTCTTTACTTTGCCTAGAGTTGCTTCTAGTTGCTTGGTCAAATATGGTATAAACAAAGTACATTGAAGAGATTATGTGTGAAACCCCGTATTTATAACATTGAAGAGCTTATGTGTGAAACCCCATATTTATAAAATTATATAGTTTGAAGATTTAATATTTTGCCATTTAATTTATATATTATATTTTATTAATTCTTGGAGGAGATATAGGGCTTAGCTTGTATTTTCTTAAATTGGAGCAATGCTTTGGAATCGAGGGAGGGGTTTCTTGGGGGCCTTTTGCAGAGATTGATTTAATTAAATTTCGTGAGCAATATATTATGCATGATATTATTATTTGATTGCTATTGATATTGGGTGTTTAAGTGTTGTTAATTATCATTATATTTTATTAATATTGACATGATCATATGTTATCGGTGATGGTTGGAATTCTTGGATTGACAAAGAAATTATGGAAAAGAGGGTAATGGGAAGGTTCTTTTGTGTAGTTGAGTCTAACCATTGTAGGGACCAAGTCCAGGCGAGCCCGTGTGCACAATAGATTAAGAAATCGGAGGTATAATTGTCAATTGGGTGATTTGGGATTGGAGATCAATGGTGTGGATAAGATGACTAGCAAAAGAGGAATTATGGGATAACTGAGATGGGTGTTAGTTTATGTAATGGGGCATTCGGAATCATAATGGTAAAATGCATGGTATGGGACATGTAGATTTGCTTGTCCTATTATATAGATTAACGGGTTGGGTAGAATTGAAGAGTATTCATGCATTATTATTATTATTATTATTATTATTATTATTATTAGTGTGATTGCATGTCACTTAATTTAGTTATATCAATCTACTGTGGTAAGGTCTCATGTCCCTACTGAGCGATGGTTGCTCATCCACTCTACTGAGCTGTGATTGCTCACCCTTCAGCCTGTTTAATTTTTCAGATGAATTAGTGGGCAAGACGGCGACTAAATCGATTGAGGTTGAATTAGATGAGAGTGATAGAGCTTTGTTTATTAATTGTAAAGTTGTAAGATTTTTAGAGCTATTGTATAAGATAAATTTATTTTTAACTCATGTTTCGGCTTCTTTTTATTTTGTTTTAGTTTTTATTTTCTCACGCACTGGGCGCAGGGTTTCTACCGACCCCCGGGTTTGGGGCGTGACATTATGAGGCTACAAAACCAAGGTAATTTGTGCATTCATTTATAATGAGCTTATGAGACAACTTGAAAATTGGAGATTTAGTCTAAACACAAATTATATTCGCAAGTGCACAAGGTCAATCGTAATATAGTTTGGCAAATACGAGGTCATTCCCACAAGGATGGAGTTCAACTTCCAATTAGTCTAACCTAATTTACTTCACAAAATACTTTAAACTACTTTAATTATATAAACAAGAAATTAAACACATAGCATACTCACGCAAACATGAAAGGGTTTGTGAAAGAATGATTTAATTACCAACGAAATTAAAAGACAAAACAAGTAGAAAGTCACGAAACACAGAATGAGAAATTCAAATTGATAGAAGCACTAGGACAATGAATTCAGCACTAGTAATCTGATCTAGCCTCTTATTCACCTACCTATTAACTAACCATTTGATGTTGTCGCTTGGTTTTCCTTTTTCATGAATTATATCTATGGTATTTATGCTAACTCGAATATTCCTACATGCAATTCGAATATGGTATTTAGGTCAAATATCAACACATAGAAACTCATTAAGATCAGTGAAAACCTCGAACAAGCATGTAAACCCTAGGAGTATGGTATTTACCCTAGACGAATTACAAATCCTAATCACAAGAAGCAAGCCTTAAATGAAGTATGGTATTCACTCTAATTTGCATCCAATTAACTCAATTAAAAGTCTAGATGGTGATCAAGCATTAGATAATCAACCAAGTTATTAAGTACAGTGATTAAGAATCCAACATCAAACAGCAATCAATAGATAAGTAAAATAAGAAAACTAAATTATCATACTAGGGCTACATCATGCCCTAACAAAAGAAAATTAGTTACACACATGTATTATTAATAGCATTATATATAGTCGCAAAAGGAAGTTGGAGAAATAAAGTTTGCTGAAGACTTTTATTTTTCGATTGGGTTTATCTAACCGGATCCCATATTGTATCATTTACAGAGTTGAAAGAGTCGAACAAAGGAAAAAACTGAATTTTGGTATATTTAATGTCCGACCAAGCTATGCATAAACAATATTGCAGAAAATTCTCACATTCCGTAATGAGAAAAGTCTTATGAAATTTTGGTATACATGAGAGAAATTTCCTAACTTCTGGTAATTGCTTTTTTTCCCACTAGAACTGTCTTCTCGGTGTTTTTTTTCTTCTTCTTGTTGTTTCTTTAAAATTTCCCAAAAGTGCTCACCCACAAATACTGATTGTGAAAGGTCTTGACCCAGTCTCAAAGATTCACATATATATATTTAAATTATATCTCAACATAAAGAAAAAGAAGCATCTTCAATTCATTTGAAGGAACCTCTTCTCCTCATACTTATCAAAGCTAGCATGTAAATCAATTGCCAAAACACCTATATAATACCAGCTAGCTACAGCTATATAGTTGAATAATAATTAAGCTAAACCTTTGTATCACCCAGTATTATTTTATTAAACTCTTCTGGACCTTTTGACGATTCTCCATGGAAGTGGCGGAACTTAATTAATGTTAAATACCACTTTGCACCCCTAATCTGTTGCTAATTCTTATGTAAGGGTCGGCTTTAGAGTAATTAGGTCTGGAGCACTACCCCTATGTAATTTTGGGAATTATTTATATACTACCATATTTTCATGTGCTATATATATATTCTCTCATGAGGATGTCAGCACGTTATTACTGTGCTGTGTCATTGTAAATAAGGAGGAAAACATAAAGGGGTAGAAGAAACTACACGGCATACGTCCGCACGGTAATAACGTCTAGACGTCCGCATATATAGGAGAATTTCTCTCTCTATATATAGTTTAGGATATTGGTCAAACGTCTAGACACATTTAAACTTTGATCACCATTATACTTATCATCAATCTTTTTAGATGTTTTGTTCATCAAGATATTCAACAACAAAATTTCCCCTTTTTTAATAATGGCTTCATAGAAATCCCTACAAATTTCAGGCCTAATTTTTCAACAATTGAGGTTGACCAATAAAAACAATACTGATCTAACCCATTGATTGTTAAAATATACATGTACGCATATGTAACCCATTGTGTCCACATGACACGAATGCAGTGTTTAATTAGAAAAGTCTGACAGAAGTGGTCCAACTTAAAACTTGTTATAGCGACATGCATACAAATTTGGGGTCAAAGTTGGAAGGGGAAAAGATCTCTATATAAGGCATAGCTAGGTGCTCAAGGTTACTAAACTCAATTAATCCCATCATCAACAACCTTCTTTTAGGGTTCAAGCTTATTCTCTCTGCAGTTTTATTCATTAGTTCATAATAAATAAGCACTCTTCCTTCCGAGTACCTCTCCTATACATTTCCTGTGTTGTGCAGCATTCTGTATGCCTTCTCTTTCATCTCAAATGGAGAGAGCAAGATCATTTCTTCAGTCTCCCACTTACGGGAACATCGTCACCGTTCTGAGCATTGATGGAGGTGGAATTAGAGGGATTATTCCCGGAACTATACTCAAATTCCTAGAATCCGAGCTTCAGGTAATTAAGCATATATATTAAAACCCATAATTTAACTTTAATTAATAATGTTTAAAATAATTGTCTTGCTAATTTATTTTCACTTGAACTTTGCCACATATGCAGAAGCTAGATGGTGAAGAAGCAAGGCTTGCAGATTACTTTGATGTGATTGCAGGGACTAGCACTGGTGGGCTTGTGACTGCCATGCTTACTACCCCAGATGAAAATAATCGACCCTTATTTGCTGCTAAAGACATTAACGATTTTTATCTTGAACATTGTCCTAAGATCTTCCCTCAAGACAGGTACCTAACAAGCTATTCAACTCAATGTCATTAATCTTGTGCATGTACATCAATTATTAGTATAATTAATCTTAGCTTGAACACCTTTTTCTTTTTTAATATTATACATATATAGTGGCTAACAATCACATATATTTTGCTTGTGCAGCAACTATACATTGATTGGTGACGCCATGGACATGGTAAAAGCTGTGTCAGGACCGAAGTATGATGGGAAGTATTTACATAAGATAGTGAAGGAAATATTAGGAGACATACGATTAAGTGACACGTTAACAAACGTTATAATCCCAACTTTTGATATAAAGCGGCTCCAACCAATGGTCTTCTCTAGCTATGAGGTTTGTTTTCATATCTTTAAATATATATATATATATGTGTGTGTGTGTACGTGTGTATATATATGCTTGTTTTGTTAAATCTAATATAGTTACATGGTTGGTTTTGTGTTTCGATGGTGATTATAGGAGAAAAAGAACACTAGCATAAATGCTTTACTGTCGGACATATGCATTGGGACTTCAGCAGCCCCAACCTATCTTCCAGCGCACCATTTTGAAACCAAAACTTCCACTGGTGAATCAAGAGATTTCGATCTCATTGATGGTGGCGTTGCTGCTAACAACCCGGTATATATATAATTACATTATGACCTTGATCTATAATACACCATGCAATTTCAAAAGCTTATTTAACTCTCGTTCATTATATTGTTGTTTTTTCTTATCAGGCTTTGGTTGCTATAAGCGAAATGACAAAAGAAATCCACCAGGGAAATTCTGACTTCTTTGCTATAAGGTCAACTGAGTATGGTCGGTTCTTAGTGATATCGTTGGGTACTGGTTCAGCAAAATCTGAAGAGAAATATAATGCCGATGATGCAGCTAAATGGGGTCTTTTGGGATGGTTGACGAAAGGGGGTTCCACTCCATTGGTAGATGTATTTACTCAAGCAAGTAGTGACATGGTCGATTTCCACCTTGCTACTGTTTTTCAAGCTCTCGACTGTGAGAAAAATTACCTCCGAATTCAGGTATTTGGGATATATTTACTGCCATACTATGAATTAATCTATACCATAATCAATAATCCAAACTCACAGTAAAAATCGATAATTAACGGGTTGAAGTGAAAATATGTATGGTGCAGGATGATACATTGGAGAAAACAGTATCTTCAGTGGACATTGCTACGCAAGAAAACTTGAATAACCTTGTAAAAGTTGGAGAGGAATTGTTGAAGAAACCGGTTTCGAGGGTGAATTTGCAAACCGGTATCTATGAGCCTGCTCATCAGGAAACAAATGAAGAAGCTCTCGTAAGGTATGTATATTTGATTACTCGCCAATCTAATATGATTTTTTAGCATGAACATAAATATGTTATATTGATTAAACATTACTAATCACAATTAATTTTCTTAATTAATCTGCACGTGTGTAGGGTGGCGCAAATTCTGTCCAGGGAAAGGACGGTCCGTGAAATGAGATCACCACATGGAAAGGCTGTAGCTGACAGCAACTCCAACTGATGATCACATATTGCTAATCTCACGCTTATTATTCCCTCTAATTAGATTTTTTTAAAATTAAAATAAAGCACTAAATAAATAAATAACCATATGGTGAAATTAGTGCTAATAATTAATTCATTATTGTTCATATTGTAATTTAATTATTTTCTCCCAATAAATACCAACCAGCATGTTGGTTGTGATCAGCAGTATTTACTTGATTCTTTATTTGAGTTAGAAATCGAAGTATTTTAATTTTATTATACTTTTCTCCTTTTCTTTTGCTACTTTCCCCACATCCAATCAACATAAATTTCCTTTTTCTGTTGTGTACCATTCTCAGCTTTTGTGTGTGTTTTGTTTCTTTGGTTTGGTTCCTTGCCACACTCACAAAAACCAAAAAAAAGAAAATTCAAAAGAAAAGAAAGTCAATCTTTTGACGGGTCCGTATGAAAAGAGACAAATAAATTAATTAAAAATTAAAGTCTCTATTTGATCATTTAAACAATGATTAAGTGGACTTGTTGGTAAGAATCATAATCCAAGTTGACTATTAACTGGAATAAAAAAATTCATGCTTTCTGGGTCTGAGATTCAGACCACAAAACAAAAATGACCACATGGTCAATATGCGTGCTCCCTCAACTGCTCTCAATATCTACTTCACAAGAATTTTCAAACCCTTTCTTTCAAGATTGAATTTTATTGGCAACTGGTCGGGGCATAAAATAAACCATAAAATGGGATGCTA